TTTTTTTTGCTTTATATGGAATGGACATCGATGTACTCGTTGCAGTGAACAAATGAGGTAGGATGTGGCGTGTAGGCTGCGCTCAGCTTTTTACACTACATCAAGATTTACACTAACCACATACGGGTTTTTTCCTCCTATTCTTTAACGCTTTGGTTTTGCCTTAAAATAGGTTGAGTCTTCTGATACAATAGAAAATGTAAAGGCTAAGATCCAGGACAAGGAAGGTAAGTTCAAAATGCATTTTGTATTCTCTCTGCTGCTTGAGTCGTGTATTCCTTACTCAGATAGGATTGCCTGGCTCATCTTACTATATAATTTCAATGTCATAGTTTATTTTTCTTACTTAATCTCGATTGATGTCATTATTAGGAATTCCTCCCGATCAGCAGCGACTGATTTTTGCTGGTAAGCAATTAGAAGATGGACGCACACTGTCTGACTACAATATTCAAAAAGTGAGTAGAAAAAGGTCAACAGAATAGTGTAGTACAAACTAGCTAGTACTATAGAAGCAGACTGACATTTGCTGTTGAGCCCAAGAAGTGCTTCAGGTAAACTGAACTATGTTATTTATGTTTAGGTAGCACTTCCAACTTGGGAAATACTGATGCTACGACTAAGCCTGTCAGTCACTGCAGCTGAGGGTATAGTTTCAGGACAGGAGTTAAGATCGTCAATAGCTTCCACTTCTGCTGCTTCCCTTCTGTCAGCTCCTGGCACTGCTCACTCTGTGGCGAGCTAATTTAGGGAGCTAACATGAAAGCTACTGCTCACTTCTGCCAGTAGATTAGCTGCAAGGTGAGGCTAGATGAGCAGCAGTGCCAGTAGAAAGGAAGGGCAGGATCATCGTTTGTTGGTAATACATAGTGACAGATTGACTCAGTTGCATCATGAAACTGCATCCTTCATCTATCAGAATCAAAGAATATAGTTGCAATAGACTTTATAGTATTTGAACCGTTATGGAGTTTAGGATGCTGCAGCACCCAGTTCACTAGAGTTTGTTTATTTGCAAACTTAGTAGCAAAAAATCTCTTTAAAGCTTTTTTAGTTTGCTGGAGTTTGAAATCTGCTACCTAAATACTTTCTGCACCTAAAAGAACAAGGCTGCGTAAATGCTTGAGAAAAGAATTCTGAATCTATATAATGTGTTTTACAAATAGGAATCAACTCTTCATCTTGTGCTGAGACTTCGTGGTGGTGCTAAGAAGAGAAAGAAGAAGTCTTACACTACTCCCAAGAAGAACAAACATAAGAGAAAGAAGGTTAAGCTTGCCGTGCTTAAGTATTACAAGGTAAGCAGAACTATTTCTAGGGGAATGAATCATGGTAAGAGCTTAGCTCTCACTAGAGCTGGGGAATTTCACTCATTTTGTGCCATGCAGTAACGGAAAGGGATGAAATGGTTACAAAATATGAGGGTAGTGTTCTGGGCAGGTAACTAGACCTCATACAGTCTGGCAAATTTAAATCTTTCTGTTTGCAAATACCCTATCCCTTAAATAGCAGAAAAACTGACAGTTGCCATCAGGCATTTCCAAAGTTTGCTTTGGGAAGTTTGTGACATAATTACCACAAAAAATGCCTTGTCAAAGGAAATACTGAAAAAGCACGGGTACTAAAAGGTGGGGGGGCATATATGAGATACTGCCTTTTTGCCATTTACAGGTGGATGAGAATGGCAAGATCAGTCGTCTACGCCGGGAGTGCCCTTCTGAGGAGTGTGGAGCAGGAGTCTTCATGGCTAGCCACTTTGACAGGCACTACTGTGGCAAATGCTGTCTGACATACTGCTTCAATAAACCAGAAGACAAGTAAATGTACTAGACAATAAAAATCTGAAGTTCTCTATGGTTTAAGGATTTATTTCTCCTTCCACCATAATTCCTCTTCATTGATCAGCAAGAGGAATCTACAGAACTTTGAATGTCGATTGCCAACTAGGGTTTTCTGTACTTTGACTCTAGAACTGAGGCAGCAACTTCAGTTTTCTCAAGAGCTGCTTTAGGTAAGAGACGCTATTTTTCTTAGGTCTATAATGCAGCAGTATCTTAAAGTGGCAGCAGAGTCAGCTGAACAGATTTTTGTTCCCGCTGAAGCAATTTTTCCTTCTATGTTGCTAAATGATTTAGTAGTGTTAGCTAGCAGTGAAGGCTTAGTTCTAATCCTTTTATTCTAGGCTATTAAGATACTGGTTTGTTAAATGAGACTTGCTGCAGTTTTGAACCCATGCTTAGATAGTTCAGCTACACCGCCTATTACAGTGAATATATTCATCACAGTTGGAAAATTTTAGCTCTTCAAGAGCAGAATACTTCTTAGAATTGTGCTCTAGTCTTTTACTTTTTCAGAGTGGAGTTGCTTTCCTAAGGCACATGGAAGGATAACATATGACGAGGGTACCAAAATGCCTAAGCAAAGATGGCCAGGGCTATACTTCTGCTCATCTCTGTGAGGTTCATCTAACAGGAAGAACCCTATATTTTATATATATATATCATAGAAGCAACCTCCCTAAGCTTACTTTCAAAAATACTCTTCTCCCCCTTTCTAGTCAAACATGAAAGTTTCTGTCATACTACTGTAAGCTGAAGTCTAATCTTTTCCTCTGCAGAGCATCAACAGAATGGGGTAGTTGCCTATGTAAACTCATGCTCCTTTCTAAGGCAATACTGGGTAGCAATGGCAGAGCAAAAAAAACTGTTTCAGCTAACATCCTTAAAAGGGGCCTACTCTAAGTTCTCTCTACTCCCCTCATGTATAGTTCTAATTAGGAAACAAAGGAGATCAAGAAGTTATGCTTGAGCATTTAACTACTTGTAGACATAATTCCAGCCACGTGAGGAGTCCTCCCAACAAAATGCAGACATCACACTGAAAAAGCTGGTTGCTTCTTTACTGAAGGTAATGGTATAGCAATATTATAAGGGAGCAGCTCAGCTATACTGGAACCATTGCATTCATATGATTTCCAATAGACGGGCACCAGAAAGATATTTACAGCTTGGCAGTTTTACTCCTCTGAAGTGCTTGTAATTAATTCTTCTAGTTTATTCTATATTCCAAGGAGGTAAGCTGGTTGCTTGAAAAGATTTAAGATTAGAACAATGCTATATAAATATCAGGTCTAGAGATTCATAGGAGCCGCTTTATAAATTCACTTGAAGCAAAGAGTTTAAGCCTTTGTTCCAGTGAGGAACAATGCATGTCCTTTAGTTTGGTGTATTTAAATGTATTTTAAAATCCAGGATCCCAGGAAGTTGTCTGTTGAACTTCTTTTTCTTCATAACAGATGATTTCATCTCCAACACTGAATTCTATATCCTTGTCCAAACTTATGCCACAATCCATACCAGTTTTTATTATCTGGACATCAGCTTTATGATGCTTCAATGATGATAAGGATCCTATAGACAAGAACATGTCAAAAAAAAAGGGGGGGAGGGGAAGACCCCACTCAAATCATAGCACGTGGGTGTTTTGATTTTCCCCTCTTACACAGTTATGGTTTCAGCATGTAGCCACAAAATGAAAGCAAGAAAAACTAGGGACAGTGACCACTTGCAGTTGATGAAAACTCTGGGAGTCAGATATCTGTCCCTTTCAGTAGGTAAACTCTGTGTTGTTACTGCTTTCCTATCTAAGTTGGTGGTCAGAAAAAGGTCTGGATAACGAGGGTACAGTGAATTTGCAGCTTTTTCTCTAGTTGGGGCAAATCCATCCTAAATTAGTATATGGGATTGCACAGTGCTCAGATACATACATACATTTTGCACCAGCTTCCCAGGGAACTACCCCTATCTAATACCAAATGTGAACACACATTGCTTTTTGTAGCAGTTACACTTACCTTTCCAAATAACATCTCCCTGACGGATTAACTTAAATTTCATCTTTTTGTCTAGCTGCCCCTTCTGTACTCTGCACCCAGCTACTGGAACTTTACTTTTTCCTACTGTTACACAGAAGGTGTCAAGAACAGAAGCTTCCCCTAAAAATAAAAAAAAAAAGGGCATGGAGTACAAGCTACTGTTCCTTAGAACCAAGCCATACTCTTTCACTTATCAAGCTTTATAAGAAAATAGAAAAGCAAATACAGAAGAATATTAAGTATTCAAAATAATAGGAACATTTAATTGGCGAATAAACTTGGGCCGTACTGTGAAGCAAAAATGTATTTACCACTCAGAAAACTCACCTATTGTATTTTCCACCACAGATGGGGGTAGTCTGCTATTTAGCTCATGTTTCACATCTTCAATAAGTTGGTAGATAATATTGTGAAGCTTAATTTTTATTCCCTTCTTAGCAGCCAGCTTTTTAATAGTTTCATTGGCTTTCACACTGAATCCATATACAACACCTGCAAAATAAAGCAATCAGCTGCTGATGGCTACGAGAGATCATTGCTTTTTTGCATAGGTGAAGTTCTGCTGCCTCTATTCTGTAATGTTAAACTGGCAGCACAGCCTGAAAGTAGCAGTCACCAATACAAGAAACACCATTTTACATACGCTTCCCTTTTAAAGGGGGGAGCGTTTGTCTCCCTCACTTGTTGCATTCAGCACATCCTTTACTAACCTCGCATCAAAACGATTAGGCTTCCAAAAAAAAAAAAAAAAGCATCACTGTGGAAATTAATGCTTACACACAGCTCATCAGAACAAAGGAAAACGACTCCTTTGGGCTGGAAGAACAGTTTGATTGTCTAGAATAAGTCTGAAGCGAACTCCAGTTAATTCTTACCACTTATAGATGAGGCCAGGTCCAATGACAACGAATTAACAACCCTATACCCTTTACTGCAGGTGATGAGCACAGGGTTAGGAATGGGTATTAAACCAATACAACCTTTCCAATGACCTTCCTGAGCAAAAGGAAATTCTCTTATACTGGTATACTACTTTTCTGGCTTCTTTGCTCTGCTCAAACAGAATAAAGCAACCAGAGTGAGGAGTCAGAGTTTTCAAACATTAACTGTCATTATTAAACAAGCGAACAAGTCAAACTTTCCTTTTCATTACATTTCTAGCCTTTCCTTACATTTCTAGCCTTTCCTACCTGCGCTGGTCTTCAATGTTAAAGAACACGTTTTTAACCTTCATGCAAGTTTACATTAAAGATAATTAGAATTATGACAGAGAAAACAAAACCAGAATGAATATCTACCATTTCATTAGAGAGCAGAAGATTTTATACTAATTGTAAATTGATATTTAAATATGCACTCACCATTAAATGCTTCAGCAAGACTTACATCAGTTTCACTGATGTCTCCCATTCCAAAATGAATGATATCCAGTTTACATTCATCGTCAGCATCATAGCTGTCCAGAATGTTCAGAATGGCTTCAACAGATCCATCTACATCACCTGCATATATAAGCAGTACTACTATTGGCTTTGTATAACTCAAGTTACTGAAACAGAATAAAAAAAGATAACTCCAGGCTGTACAATATAATCAGAATCTTTTTATATCTAACATTCTTGCACTATTTTCAACAGTAGGTTAAAAAAGAAAATCAGAACTATAAAAGGGTGTTCATTCTGAAAAGTGAACAAATACAAGAGGAGCAGAGGCTCCATATCTGCTGTCGTTTTCAGGTCAAGTTTGCACAATTTTCAGCTGCTACTCTTCACTACATCTATAGTACAGAACGTGAGGCGAAACTAAGTTCTTCCTGCCCCATTTTATCTAATATGCAGTTGTTCTGTACTCCATTTTGTTTATGCAACACTGCTGCTTGTGTTTATATAGCTATGCACATACACATAATCACATATGTATAAAAACACATAAATGAGGACATCCTAGCAAGCTACATGCCGGCATGCCCACCACCTTATGACTGAAACTTAAGCCTTGACTTTCTAAGTATTTATGCACAGAAGTAACCTTACACATGTAAGCCACTGAATCTACTGGGATTCCTTTTATGTGCAGAAGATACTTGTGCACTTAAGTTTCACAGGATCACTTCAGCGGGCTGATAAAGCACGAGCTAGAGCAGAATCTCAACACCTGTTTCTACAGCCCCGATGCTCCTATATCACCTGAACATAAGAACAGTGCTATTACTAACTCTGTATAAATCAAAGCAAGTAATGCTGAAGTAAAATGAAAAATGACACGATAACTCTATGTTGTAAGATAGAATCAAAGCCACAAAAAAGGAGACATGAAACTAAAGTTCTAACAGGTAGCCTGCCAATTAAACCTACCCTATATTCATTTTAACTTTTCCAAGGAGCTTTACTATGGCCAGCAAGTTTGCTTAGATTATCTTCCATTCTATATGAAAGATATCTTTTTTTACCAGAAAGCCGTTCCTCAATGAAATTTAGACTGCTGTTTGACATAGGAACAGAATCATCACGTGTCTTATTACGTCATCTTCAGGAAGTGTTGACCACATAGATCTATTTTCAGCACACCTAGCAGCAATGGTTATCTTTGGCACTGTACTTCCTGCCCCTCTTGATCTCTGCAGCAAAGTATAAGGAGAAACTGAAGATCTACAACTCTCCATCAATGATAGCTTCCAAGGAAGAGGACGCAGGTGAGCTGGGATAGAGAACAAAGGCTGTGGTACCCAGAAGACAACAACTTGAAGACTGACTGTTGAGCAAGGAACCATTCTTTCACCTTTGATAACACTGCCTCTGCTGAGGACTAACAAGCAGTTAGTTGGTTGAGGACAGGCAAGAGGAATTCTACTTTAAAGACTGCAAGAACTACTCAAAACTACATCCATCAGCACTACCACAGGTAGGTCAAATACAAAGCCCCAGAAACTTGGAATCGGCCATTTAAAGATTTTGTCTCAGACTGAGGAAGGAGACACATGA